CAAAATCCATTCAGGAGAAAAATACTTCAAAATCCCTTGCAGCAAAACTTACAGCTAACAACAGCAGAGCAATAGAAGCTAACACGAGACATCAGCCAAATAGAAATTGCCAAACACTCCTTAAGAACACAAAGCCCACATTGCACAAATCCCAGAACTTCAAAGTCACAAAAGCACATAAGAATCCTTCCACTCTCCACCTCCCTCCCTCGTGCCTCACCTCCAGCCATTGCTGCCTTTTTTCATTCCTCTTGGAGGGGGACCCCTCCCCCCACTGCATTTCTTGCCTGTTTGCTGCTGCCAGCACAGGTGGCTGCCACAGCAGTTGTAGATCAGCTCATGGCCAGCCTGCTTGATCATCATCATCATCTCCTCCTCCTCCTCCTTCTTCTGTGCAGCTGACTCCACCTCCTCCCAAGGCTGCTGCTTTTTCTCTCTCTCCCTCTCCTGCCCAAACTGCCTCCTTTTCTAGCTTCTCCTGTCTCCGCCCCCTCCTCCTTTCTCATGGGGGAGGGTGAGCCTGGGGCCTTTGCAGCTCCAGAGGACTCTCTCACTGTAAGTCCTTGCCTGTGCTGGCTCTTTCCCTCCCCCACTACACTTGGCTAGTCAGGGCTACGTACCACCTGCCACTCATTAATGTACCACAAGTGGTACGTGTACCACCGGTTGAAAAGCCCTGTCCTAGAAGGTAAGATTCAGTACAGAGGGAGGTTTCAGGTAAGCATGCTGCAATTCTTTTTTCCTCTGACTGACCTCTTCATTAGAAAAGACCCAGGTTCATCTCCTTTCTACGATAAACTGGAGGTGGATTAGTGACTCTAGTCTACTGGCTACCTTACCTGGAGAGGAGCCATGAGATTGGAAGAGATGATGGTGTGTCATTGTGTCCAACATCAAACTTGACTGACTGATTCTCTGCCTGATGAGTGGCTTCAAAGACCAGAGTGACATCTTTGCTATGAGACACAGTTTGGTGATGACAATTCAGTCAAGTCACATGTTTCAAAATTTCCATTTTTTAATGGAGAAGGGAGGATGGTGTCTATGTGGCAACCGAAAATGAGTAGGAATAATGTCTGCAGCCATGCTCATTTGTAGAGTTGACAGTTGGCAGACAGTTGAGAAATGCATCCCTCATGAAAGCTTGCCTGAGTAAACAAGGTGAAAATGTTTTCAGTGGTAAGACGTTATAGTATTAATTTTCTTAAAGGCTTTTGCTCAAATCTATTAGTTTTCAATATTTTTTGAAGTAATACTTTTTCTGACTGCAAGTCTATACACTAGAATCCATTTCTATGAGAATTGGCACCCCCCTAAGAGGAAATGATGAAGCACATTTCTGCATTATTTCTATGTACAAACATAGGAGAGAAATTCTGTCATATTTTATGTCCCCATGAGTTTATTTTCCTCCAGTATGTATATAACCTTGCAAACCTTATTACTTTTAAAAAATTGTGAGTTTTTAAACCCAACCACAAATATTTCCCTTGCAATTATGTACAAACACTTCTCTTTCTAGTCCCAGATGTTTTAATTAAGCCATTACATTTTAATTTCCTAAAAATATCCCCCATCAAAACAAACAAAGAATTGTTGTGGCCATTTCTCAAGGTTATGAGCAGTTTGGTAGCCAAACATTATTGGCACATTTTCTTAGTTATCTGAAATTGAAAACTTTTTTTTCCTTAAAAAATATTTCTGAAATGCCTGGATTGGAGATTTAATTTTATCTAGTACTTAATTGTGTGGGCTTTTGTCACACTTAAGATTCATTGCCACATATAGCTTCAGTAGGTTTGGGACTGTAGGGCGAGACTCCCAAGGCTTGTGAGGACCCCTGAAAGGATAAAGTGCCTAAGCTCTTAATAAAAGATTTTACCTAGTTTTGGGAAATGGGGTGAGAATGGGGGAATTGGGCAGGGGCTGGCAGGGGTGTGTATCTGAGTGTCCGACTTTTGCTGCTGAGACAGGTAAGGCAGGGAAGGTCGGCTCAGCAGCTAAAATGCAAAACCCCAAATACTGCCCCAGCCGGGGGCGCCCAGGCAGGGGGAAGCTGCGCCTCAGGCCCCAACGCTAGCAGCCCGATGCAGTGAGTTTGAGGAGTTAGAAGTTGCAATGGTTTTGTAAGTAGTTTCTCCAGGTAAATGTTTTTATTTCCTTATTACATATTAGCTGTGCTGGCCCTACCCTTCCTTTAGCAAGTTCCTTCAGAATATTTCCCTTCCCTAAAAATTATCCTAGAGATTTGCAACTGGGTGACAGTGACAACGGTGGTATAGAAGGATAAAGTGGGTTGGATTTCTTAAGGGAGGGGACCAGCCAGTTCTGCTGAGGGTTCTTACTCCATTTTTGGTGCATATTATCTTTTCTTTCCAGTCAAACCTTCCACTACCTCCGTAACATAGAAGAAAATTCCATTTCCCTTTTCAGTTCTCTTTTTCCTTAACCTGTTTTTTAGTTGTTTAACCCCAGGAGCTCTCACTTTTAGCAAGGGATTTGGCCCAGCTTTTTTGGGACTGGCTGGTTAGGGATACTATTGAAGGAACAGTAGATTCTGGCCCACTCTAAAGTGAGCTGGAAGGACTGGATGAAGGAATGGTTTTTACCTAGACTTCTTCCCTCTGGGCAAGTGATGAATGTAATGTGACTGTTTTAACTCCTCAATAATGGGTGGGGGGTTGCATTATGGGATGGAACTGGGCTTGCTTCACAACCTGAAGGTTTTATACCTGTTGTGGCCAGGTTACTCCTGAAATGTGCTTGCTTCCATTATTCTGCAGTAATGTAGATTTCGTTCTGGGCAAGCACTCTACTCAGATTTCCTCATAGAAAACTTGAGGCAAGATTTCCCGAAGCAGGTGTGGAGCAATTCCTTACCTAAGGAATCTTTGGAGCCATAGGAGCTGCCTCTCTGAATCCTTTCCATATGATAAGTCTTTGTGGGAGGGTGGGCTTGTTTATGTACACTGTAGATAATGGCAATTCCATTTGCCCTTCCCTTTCCCCTGGATATTCCTCCTAATCTGTTGCAGCGGCATACAAGCATGCGGATGGGAAAAAAATTGATGGCAGGCGAGTGCTAGTGGATGTAGAGAGAGGACGGACGGTGAAGGGATGGCGCCCACGTAGACTGGGTAAGCATGTGGAAAAGCATCAAGCATAGCTGCTTTAATAATTGGTTCCAAATCCAATCTTTTAAAAAGTTCTGAAAAATGTACTGGAGTACTGTGTGCAGTTCAGCCTCTCATGTTAAGTTGTGCACATCAGCAGCTTCAATGCAATTATATGATGCATTCTAAATAGGCTTTTGTTAAGCTACAGTGTGGGAAAAAAATATTTGATCCCCTGCTGATTTTGTACGTTTTCCCACTGACAAATGATCAGTCTATAATTTTAATGGTAGGTTTATTTTAACAGTGAGAGACAGAATAACAAAAAAATCCAGAAAAACGCATTTCAAAAAAGTTATAAATTGATTTGCATTTTAATGAGTGAAAGAAGTATTTGATCCCCTATCAGCAAGATTTTTTGGCTCCTAGGTGTCTTTTATACAGGTAAGGAGCTGAGATTAGGAGCATTCTCTTAAAGGGAGTGCTCCTAATCTCAGCTTGTTACCTGTATAAAAGACACCTGTCCACAGAAGCAATCAATCAGATTCCAAACTCTCCACCATGGCCAAGACCAAAGAGCTGTCCAAGGATGTCAGGGACAAGATTGTAGACCTACACAAGGCTGGAATGGGCTACAACAGTGGTTCTTAACCTTTTTGAACGAATCGCCCCCTTGAGCCAATGAGGAAGTTGTCATCGCCCCCCTCTCCCAACATAACCTCTCAATCACAACATAGGAAATAATTCTTCAATTTATCCAAACACTTTTTTTGTTTTCTTTAAAATTGTCATCAGGATATATCGATGCAAATAATTTATTTCCAGTCTTTTTCCCATATCTCAACTGTGTGAAAAATTTTGGTGCCACCCGTCACTTTATTCCCAAACTTCGTGATACATGTATTTCATTATTATCTTATTTATTCAAGACACTTAAATGTAATGACCACTGAAAACAAAATTCAATTGCAAGAAAGTGAAATGCCCGAAAAGAAAAATAGTAACATTTAATGATTGAATTACAAGTGAAATTTAAGACGCAAGAAGAAATATAAAAAGGGCACAAGAACAAACCGCAATTCAGGAACTAAGAATTTCAAGACAAAAACTCTGAAACTAAATTAAGATTCGAGGAAAGTATATATAGTCACGCACACTGTAAAAAGGATTAAAAAGACACAAAGAAAATATAATATCGAACTGGAGTGCACGCTAAAAAAGTACAATACAAAGAGACACACAAAATGTTTTACAGAGCACAACAAAAATTTGAAAACGAAGCCGAAAACTCAAACTGGAACGTGAAATCCAATGCAAGCAAATACAACGATAAAAGCTCAGACAATTATTAATGAAAAAATGTATGTACACAAAAAGCAACAAAAAAAAAACATCAATGGCTGCCCTGTGCTTGGTGGGCTGATGCCAATTTCTTGATGTCTGGAACCATTTTTGTTAATCGCATTCTTAAATCACCGTGCTCAGAGATCTTCAACATGTTCCTTGATTTAGAAAGGATCTGTTGGATGGCGCTGAAGCCCCTCTCCACTAAGTAACTGGAAGAAAAGGCTAAAAGAAGCAACTTAACTTCCTCCCACAATATTGGGTAAGTGTTCCTCATTTTCATCCAAAAAGCTTCGTAGCCGTAACTCTGAAAATGTGACTGGGCTTCACAGTCGTATTTCAGATCTGTCAGTGGCTCTTGCAGTTTGGGATGAAGTTGTGCAAAGTCTGCTGTGAAAGGATTTAGCACCCAGGTGGGCACTTCCAGATTTATCAGATCATAGAATCTGGTTTCCATATCTTCTTTTAGTTGCTTCAAGTGGCAGCAAAAAATGTCCAAATCTTCCTTGGAGTTCACGTTCATTACCAAGGCTTGGGAACTGATACAGCTCCTGGTGACTCATTGCTTGCAAGGAGGTCCAATTTGGAAATAAATGAGCAGATTACTCCCTTGGCCTTAAGAAAATTGATTTTATCTCCTTGCAGCTTTACGTTCACTTCATTCAGCTTGTCAAAAACATCAGTGAGATAAGCTACATCCAGACGTCGAAGTTTAAGAGAACTGCTTAGACTTGGGTCAATGGATTCAAGAAATTCGACAACTGTGTCAAAAAGTTCGTGGAATCGCCGCAAACACTTTCCTTTTGAAAGCCACCTTACTTCGGTGTGCAAAAGGAGACGTTCAAACTCCTCGTCATTTTCTTCACAAAGCTTGTGAAAAAGTTGGTGGTTCAAGGCATTCGACTTTATTTTATTCACAGCAGTAATGACGTAACGTAGAGACTCGTGCAAACGGCCACTCAAATTTTTTGAGACAAGGTGCTGTCTATGAACGACCCAATAGACAGTCATAACTCCAGGTACAACCGATTTTAGATGAGCTTGAAATCCGCGATATCGTCCAACCATGGATGCAGCTCCGTCGGTTGCACATGCCACGACGTTTGTCAAAGGGATGTTTTTCTCATTAAAAAACTCTTCAACCTTTTTAAATATCGAAGAACCTTTTGTGTTGTTGGCTAAATTTCGAACAAATAACAGTTCTTCCCCGAGCTCTTCATTTCCATTGATGAAACGGACATAAGCCAATAACAAGGCTTCATTTTCACAAATTGTTGACTCGTCAATCTGCATCACGAATTCTGTATTTTTCAAGGTGTCAATAAGCCTTTCTTTCACATCAGCAGCCATTTCATCAATTCTTTTTGATACGGTGTCATTGCTCAAAGGAATCGATTGCGTGATAGTGCTTGCGCTGGGCCCCAACATGGTGGCAACAATCTGCTGGTAAAATCAGTGTTTCTCCGATAGTGTGAGGTTTGCCACATTTTGCTATCAACAAAGATACTTCATAGGAACAAATGAGCCCCTCGTCGGCGTTGAGTGACGATTTTCCAAATAACTTCCCAACAGTGCTGTGACCCTCAAACTTGGCCTTTAAGGATTGGAAAAACGATGCCGGTTTGTCGGCTTTATCCGAATGAATTCTTACCAAATGGTCTTTCAGTCGGGAAGGCTTCATCGCTTCATTTGAAAATGTTTTCTCACAAAGAAGACAAAACGGAAGCTGTACGTTGGAAGAAGATGGAATGAACCCCAATTTTAGGTATTCCGTCGAATATTGGTGACACTTCCTCTTCTCGGCCATGTTGAGAGGTCCTCGAAATGAAAGGCACTACCTGCAAATTAAATTTTCGACTGCACTGGAACACTAGAAAAACACACGTGGACATCGATAAACCTAGTTTCAATAGTTACGTTGACATTACAGCTGACGTCACGGGACAGCCACTCAGCATGCAATGTTTCGAAAGAAGTGCTCCCCCCTCCATCACTGCCCATTCTGGCCAATGGCGCGCCACTATGGGTAGAGGCTGCTGCGCAATGCACATGAAGATAAGCGATGCGTATTCACATATGTACGGCGTTCTGTACTGAAGCTAGCTGGAGGAACATTTGAAAACACAATTCAATCCACTAATAGCGAGCGATCTGATGTTTTTGTATGACAGATATACAGCGATTCACTGTACGAAAAAGTCTCAAAAGTGTCCCCAAAACTTCTCGCTCCATCGCCCCCATATCACCCCCTTTTCTTTCGTTCGCCCCCGCGTCGCCCCTTTTCGTTCCATCGCCCCCCTGAAAAACAAAATCGCCCCCTGGGGGGCGATATCGCCCAGGTTAAGAACCACTGGGCTACAAGACTATCACCAAGCAGCTTGGTGAGAAGGTGACAACAGTTGGTGCGATTATTCGCAAATGGAAGAAACACAAAATAATTGTCAATCTCCCTCCGTCTGGGGCTCCATGCAAGATCTCACCTCATGGAGTTTCAATGTTCATGGGAACGGTGAGGAATCAGCCCAGAACTACACGGGAGGATCTTGTCAATGATCTCAAGGGAGCTGGAACCATAGTCACCAAGAAAACAATTGGTAACACTACGGCCTGAAGGACTGAAATCCTGCAGCACCCGCAAGGTCCCCCTGCTCAAGAAAGCACATGTACAGGCCCGTCTGAAATTTGCCAATGAACATCTGAATAATTCAGAGGAGAACTGGGTGAAAGTGTTGTGGTCAGATGAGACCAAAATCGAGCTCTTTGGCATCAACTCAACTCGCCGTGTTTAGAGGAGGAGGAATGCTGCCTATGACCCCAAGAACACCATCCCCACCATCAAACATGGAGGTGGAAACATTATGCTTTGGGGGTGTTTTTCTGCTAAGGGGACAGGACAACTTCACCGCATCAAAGGGACGATGGACGGGGCCATGTACCGTGAAATCTTGGGTGAGAACCTTCTTCCCTCAGCCAGGGCATTGAAAATGGGCCGTGGATGGGTATTCCAGCATGCCAAAGACCCAAAACACATGGCCAAGGCAACAAAGGAGTGGCTCAAGAAGAAGCACACTAAGGTCCTGGAGTGGCCTAGCCAGTCTCCAGACCTTAATCCCATAGAAAATCTGGAGGGAGCTGAAGGTTTGAGCTGCCAAATGTCAGCCTTGAAACCTTAATGACTTGGAGTGGAACAAAATCCCTCTTGAGATATGTGCAAACCTGGTAGCCAACTACAAGAAAAGTCTGACCTCTGTGATTGCCAACAAAGGTTTTGCCAAGTCATGTTTTGCGAAGGGGTCAAATACTTCTTTCACTCATTAAAATGCAAATCAATTTATAACTTTTTTGAAATGCGTTTTTCTGGATTTTTTTGTTATTCTGTCACTGTTAAAATAAACCTACCATTAAAATTATAGACTGATTCTTTGTCAGTGGGCACATGTACAAATCAGCAGAGGATCAAATAATTCTTTCCCTCACTTTAATTAAAGGTACTTTGAAGTCACACAACATTAAGCCATAATTTGAACTGGGCTTTGTTGAATAAGTTGTACTACTCTGGGTTTTACTTACCCCAAGGCATGAGTGGGCTGGAACTTCATACTAAGCAAAACCACACTTCATTATGGTTTAGCACTGAATGTGAACCATTGTTAACAAAATACTATTTTCAGTCCTCTTGATTCTTCTGTGTTAAACAGGATTCCCTTTTCTTAACTTCTTCCCGTTTTGCAAGATGAACTTTTCTATTGTATATATAATTCAGATACTTTGTGTAGGTTGAATTTGAACTTCTGATGAGATGTTTTCACAACATGCCTAAAGTAAATTAAACTGAGTAAGAATTCTATCAAATTCCAAAGAGGCCATCTTCCAAAGAGAGAATACAACTTTCACTTTCTTTTCATTTGTAGGTGGCGGTCTCGGTGGTACTCGACGGGGAGGTGCTGATGTAAATATAAGACATTCAGGTCGGGATGACACTTCTCGGTATGATGAACGGTAAGCCAAAATGTATAGGGATAAAGTAGGATGGTGTTTTCTGCCAACATTTCTGATCTTAGACTATTAAACATGTTTCCTTCTGGAAGCAAGAGAAGTAAAAACAGCCAGTTTGGTCTAGTGATTAAGGCACCAAGCTACAGGCCAGGAAACTGCATTCTAGTCCCGCCTTAGGCATGAAAGCTGGCTGGATGACTTTGGGCCAATCACTCTCTCTCAACCCAATCCACCTCACAGGGTTGTTGTGGGAAAAATGGGAGGAGGAAAGAGTATTTGAGTTATTTATAAAAAAATAAATAAAGGCAAGATAAAAAAATTAACTTCACTCTTTCAGAATTTTACATAATTTCAGCTGCATGTCAGATGGTCCAGAAAGTTGATAGAGAATCTTCTCGTATTTAAACTTTGAAGATTCTTAATTGTAGCAGAATGTCTTTTATTTGGTTAAAAAATACATAAACGTTCAGATTGGATAGATAGTATTTGTTAAGGTTCTTAGAAGGGCAGTATCTTTGTGATTTCATTTGAAACTTCCTGATCAGACATGGGCATTTTACACACACACACACACACGGCCATATCTGTCCCTTTGGCTGTCACTATCTTACCCACGTGAGGTCAAGTGGAAATTGGAAATCAAATGTAAATAAGCCATGCACGCAATACAACTGCATTGCTTTTATTTTGAAGGCGAATGTTTTTTTAAAAAATTTATTTATGTGCATGCATGTGTGCTTACGAACCTTCACAGTAATGTGTTGGAGAACGTGTCTGCAAGAGATGTTGAGTTAGCCCTCAAAAATGTCAGCTCCCAATAAAAAAGATCAATATAGAATGTAGAGTTTTTAACAAGACATGGAATTCTGAGTATTTATATTTACTGAAGTCAAAGGTAAAAGCCGTGTACTTAATTTGTGGAGTACAGATTGCTGTGTTTAAGGATTACAGTTTGAATTGCCACTATGTGATTAAACACGCAGAGAAATACAAGAATTTGACTGATGCAGCCCCCCTCACAAAGCCCAACCGTACCTCACCATGGTGGTGGTGAGTGAACAGTATAAGCCTATTATACTGGCCAAAACTGCTCTGGCCTTGAGAAAGACCTGGCAACCTACTCCAGTTTTCCCTGCCAAAAAACTTTATGGATTGACTCAAATATGTGGAAAATATGGTATCAAACACTGAGTCCCCCTGGCTGGGAGGTACCAATAAAGCTACAGGGGTAGAGCAGAGAGACTATCATAGTAGCAGGAACATCCGTGATGTATCTGCTGTTCAGATATTCAAATCAGGAACATGGAACATCAGTGGCTTAAATTTAGGAAAGCTGAACATTGTAAAGAACAAAATGAACAGGCTCAACATTGATATACTAGGCATCAGTGAAGTCCGTTGGACTGGCTGTGGCTTCTTCAACTCTGATGGTCATATCGTATACTACTATGGCAAAGATACCATCAGAAGAGGAGTGGGCTTAATGCTGCATAAAATAGTGGGCAGAACCATAGAAAGTTTTCAAACACTTCTAGAGAGAAGTTCCCTGAAGATGGGCTCCAGCACGAGTCTAAAAGCTTGGAAGACAAAACCTCTGGTCCCAGTGACTGACCCAGATTGTATCCTGCAACATTATCCTAGGACATGTATATTCGCCTACATTCGTGAGTTTTCAAACAGTCGGTGATAGGAAAATGGCAATAAGTATCAACGGAAAGCCTTGCAACATGACAGTTCTGCAAGTTTAGGTTCCCACTGTGGGCTCAACAGTAGAGAATTTCAAAGAATTCTACACTGAAATTCAGGGAACTCTGAAACAAACACCAAAGAAAGACATTATCTATATTATTGGAGATTTCAATGCAAAAGTAGGAGAAATGGAAAAAACAGGGAAGTTTGGCCTTGGTGAACAAAATGAGGCAGGAGAACATCTGATTCAGCTATGCCACAAACAGCAGCTAAGCATAATGAACACATGGTTTGAACAACCCAAGCAGTGACTATACACTTGGATTTCACCAAATGGAGAATATCGAAACCAAATTGACTACATATTATGCCAAAAGAAACGGAAAAGTTCCATCCTCGCTGTGGCAATGTTCCCTGGTACAGATTGTGGGTCAGACCATGAACTGTTAGCTGCCAAGATAAAGTTCAGGTGCTGTAGTGTCAAATGACCACCCATGATTCAGAAATTCGATGTTGAGAAGATTGCCCCGGCATATGCAGTTGAAGTTAAAAGATTTGAACTGCTCAACATCACAGAAAGACAACCAGATGAGCTATGGGAGGAAATAAAAACAACTGTCACTGAAGTAGCCCAAGAACATATTACATAAAAGAAACCAGTGAAATTGGCCAGATGGATATCAGAAGCTACAATAGAGACTGCAGAAGAGAGAAGGAAAGCAAAAGCCATTGATGACAGGGAAGAAGTGCAAAGACTAAATGCAAAGTTCCAAAGAGAGGCAAGAAAAAATAAAAGTACTGGGCTGATGAGAAATGTAAGAAACTGGAGGAAGCAGCCATGAGACAACAGAGAGTTTCACTAATGTCAAGGAGGCTCGAAACCCCTTTATGGCAAGAAAGGCTATGGTCAGAGGACGTGATGGGCAGGAATTGCATGACCAACAAGCAATCAGAGAAAGATGGCAGGAATATGCAGAACAACTTTACACAAACAAAAAACAAGGCCAAGCTGTAAGAGGAGAAGCTGACCTACCAGAAATGGAACCAGATATCCTGGAGGAGGAAGTAGTGTGGGCACTCAACCATTTGCCTAACCACAAAGCCCCAGGAGTTGATGGAATTCCTGCAGAGTTGCTGAGACCACTGCCAACAAAAGCACTGACAGTGCTTTGCCAAAGTGTATGGAAGTCTGGTCAGTAGCCAAAAGAATGAAAAAGGTCAATATTTATCCCAATACCAAAGAAAGGTGATATGAAAGACTTTTCCAACCACCGAACCATAGCCTTGATACCACACGTGAGTAAAATTCTCTTGGAGATAATCCACCAATGTTTGAATCCAACCTCCAACAGAGAACTGCCTGATGTACAAGCAGGATCACATTGCCAATCTATGTTGGATGATGGAAAAAGCAAATGAATACCCAAAAGACCTCTCTACATGTGCTTCATTGACTACACGAAAGCCTTTGACTGTGCTGACCATGACAAGCTCTGGAATTGCCTAAAAGAACTGGGAATATCACCACACCACATCCAGTTCATTCAGTCATATGGAGACAAAATGATTCAGAATTGGAAAAGGCACTCAGCAAGGTTGTCACCTATACCAGGGCTTTTCAACCTTTTCACCCATTGTACCACTTTTAGGATATGGCAACATCCGAGTACCACCAGTCGCCTAGCAAGGTGTCAAAAACTTGATGACCCCCCCAAAAAAGGAAAAAGGTGATGAAGTCCAGGTAATCCTTAACTTACAACAATTCGCTTAGTGACTGTTCGAAGTTACAATGGCACTGAAAAAAGTGCCCCCCAAGCCACAGCCGAGCAAGACACCTACCTGCCCACCCAGCGGTGCTCTTCCTCCTGTCCGAGGTTTTCATTGTTGTGAGCATTTCTGTTGAGGATTGGCAGCGGGGATGGGGTGGGGGTGTTTGGTTTTTATTCCCCCCATCTGCTGGGTGGTTGCAGCAGGTTTTGGTCACTTTACATGACCCTGGGACACTGTGACCATCATAAATATGAATCAGTTGCCAAGCATCTGAATGTAAATCACAAGACCCTGGAGGGGCTGCAACATTCCAGCTGATCGGCGCTTCTTCTGGGCTCAGCAGAAGCACCAGGATCAGTGCCGAGCTCCAGCTGGAGCCTGGCACTGATCCTGGCACTTCCACTTAGCCCTGACAGCCCTGCAGCTCCAGCCATCTCTCACTCAGGCTTGTGCGGTGCTGCCACCGGTTCAGCTCATTCCCCTCCCCCGCTACCACTTTTCTAGGATGGTCGCGTACCACCTGCCAGGTGCCAATGTACCACAGGTGGTACCTGTACCACTGGTTGAAAAGCCCTGACCTATACTATTCAACTTGTACACAGAAATAGTTCAGAGAAATGCACATTTGGAGGAATCTACCATTGGGGTTAAAATCGGAGGTAGGAATATCAACAACCTCCAATATGCAGATGATGCAACATTGCTCACAGAAAGCAAGGAGGATCTGGAGTGGTTAATCCTGAGAGTCAAAGATGAAAGTAAAAAATTTGGACTGCACTTTAACATCAAGAAAACAAAGATAATCACAACTGCAGAGAACACACAGGTCAGAATGCAGATCAACAATGAGACCATTGAGAAACAGTAAAGGAACTCATCTTCCTGGGCTCTAAAATTGACCAACATGGTGACTGGAGCCCTGAGATAAGAAGGTGTATAGCACTTGGAAGAACTGCAATGTCTGGGATGAATAACATCTGGAAGAGTAAAGACATCAGCCTTGCAACCAAATGTAGATTAGTTAACTCAATAATTTTTCAAAATGCTACTTAGGGCTGCGAAACCTGGATTCTGAAAATTGCAGATAGGAGAAGGGTGGATGCCTTTGAAATGTGGTGCTAGAGGCGACTATTATGCATCCCATGGACTGCAAAAAATAACAAAGAAGTCCTACACCAAACCTCACCAAAAATATCACTTGAAGCCAAGATCGCCAAACAGAGGCTGTCACACTTTGGTCATGTCATGAGAGCTGACTCACTTGAAAAGTCAGTCATGCTGGGAGTGATCAGCAGAAAAAGGAGAAGGGGCCACCCTAGTACCCACTGGCTGGAGACTATAAAAGGATGACAGCAGGATGACCATGGCGGCTCTGAAGGAGGCTGTGCGAGACAGAGGGGCATGGAGAGTGTTGATCCATAGAGTGCCCAAGGGTCGGACATGACTGAATGGCTGATGACAACTGATGCAGAGCGAGCACGGGCATCTGATGCTTTGCTAGCTAAGCTGCAAAACCAACAAGGACTTTTTAACCAAGCTTCACA